ATTCATTCTGTCTATGTGCTGGATCAGAGTATGTGGAGATAACACAAGCCCAAGGTCAGGGAGGGGGAGACAGAGGGGAGACCTACAGCCAATTTACATGAAAGATGAATGGGAAGAGGGGTAGGAAGGGTGGAGGTCGGGGGGTGGGGGGTTTGAGACAGGGACTGTGATCTCCTTAGTGTGTGTGTGTGTGTGTGTGTGTGTGTGTGCGTGTGTGTGCGCGTCTCTCTCTCCGTGTGTGCTGCTGCGCGCGCCTTCAGCAAGAAGGTCTCGTGATCTCCTGGCCTTCTGGTGAGGAGACTGGAGCCCCGCCTGGCACTGACCCCGATAATGTACGCGACGGCACTAATAGCATACTGTCATCCTTTCTCGCCCGCAATAACTAACTCAACGAAAAGAAGAGAGAGGGAGAGAGGGGGGGCGGAAAACAAGTGTGAGGGGTAGATGCGGGGACGGCGGGGTGTGTACGGTGGAGAGAGGGAAGCGGGAGGAAGGGAGAGGAGAAGAAAAGGAGGGGAGGTTAGCTAAGCTATGTTTAAGAAATGACATGGGGCAGAAATCATTTGTAATCTTGGAATCAGGGTTGAGAGAGGAAGGAGGGGGCACCTTAGATGAGTGTGAAGGTGTGTGAAGCTGTGTGTGTGTGCTTTAGAGAATGGCATTAGATGTGAGTGTGTGTGTAACATTAGCAGTAAATGCACTGTGCCTGTGTCTCCTCTCTCTCTCTTTATCAGTGTATATTTGCTGTGGGCGCTGGAGCATGGAAGGCTTTCAGAACACTGGCCCATAGGGGACGGGACCCTGTGTCCAAGACACACACACACACACGACACACACAACACACACAACACACACAGCACCGGCACAACACACACACACACACACAAACAAACGGTTACTTATCATACAGGGTCATTACAGGCCTCTAACTATAGCCCTGGTAATCACTGGTTTATATCAGCACCCATATTCACCGTACAATACACAGCCGCTCGTATCAATAGAGAGCATGGGAATGATGGCTAAGAAGAGGGTGAATGGGAGACAAACTCATTCTTTATAGTGAGAAAATTGCTTTTCTAGTAACAAGCTCCTTTCATTTTCTCTGTCTGTACTTAGACTAAGAAAGGTACACCTGTAATCCAGCGGGGAGAGGACCATGGGCGAACCCCTGCCTACTGCTACAATTGCTCCAAGAAGGGACACTTTGGCCATGTGAGTACTGTGTCTGGTTTTTATTTAACTGTGTTTAACATTACATGTGTAGGTATTTTATCATAGTTCATCAGTTTGTTGTTTTCTGGTCTCTAAGCCAAAATAAATCCCAGAATGATTTGCATAAAACATTTCTAGGAAAGTATTAAATGGGTTGAAAAGTTTGTTTACTTTCGCACTACAAATCAGAAGTAGTTAAAATCTCACCACACATGAGATTTCACAAATGTTTTCCTTTTTTATTGCTTGCGATAAGAGAGATTTTTGGAGCAAATGATTTGTTTTGTATCCAGTTTCTTCAGGTTTGTTCATCAGGTTCAATTTACAGAGTTTCAGTATGCAGTCAGATTATTACTTCTTCAATAATGTGAAAGTAAATGTTGAAAACAAGCACACTGAGTATTGGTTTATTCCAGTCATGGACCTTTGTCCTTTTGCCATCAAAATAAACTATTAAAAAATAAAACTACTATATTACATTTTTTTTAAATGTCAAGATAAAGTCAGCTCCATTTGTGTTGCTGTTACACACTACAGAATTAATGTAGAGATTAATAATAATACGTTTTTTTTAAACACATGATCTATTACACCTTAGGTTTCAGTGCACTCTTGTTGTAATCTGTTGCCACACATCATTAATCTTTTCGTGTCTGTTTTGTATGTGATTTCTGTTTGTTTGTCAGGCGTGTACACGGCAGAGAATGTTCAAAGTGACGTATCCCACCACCCCGTTCATCAACCACTACGACACTGTGGGAGACATCAACCGCAGAAAGCACAGGATAAAGTTTAAAGTTATAGGTAAGTCACACAAACAAACATCTGTTCTTAATTATGAAAGAACCTACACTTCCCTCTTAGCTGTAAAGCTGTTTGTTCAGGGCAGTTGTGGAAGTATTCAGTTCTTTAACTGAACTAAAAGTACAAATACATTAATGTGATCATACTGCATTACAAGTAAAACTACTGCATTTAAAATGCTACTTAACTAAAGGTACCAGCAAAATGTACTTTAAAATGTACTAGTTAAAGTGCTTGTTATGCAGAAAAAGTATTTCAGTGAGTGATATATTATTTTATATGACATTATTACATTGTTAGTACTGATGCTTCTGTGTGTAAGCAGCATTGCTGGTTGAGGTGAAGATGGTTTTACTTCATATACATATTTTAGTGCAACTCGGGGGTTTGAATTCTCCAAAAGGTCACAAGAAAAATCTGAGGCATCATGAGATGCTGAATAGGAGAGAAAAGAAGAAAAAGTAAAGCTCTAAAACAAAACAAAAGATTACATTATGTGCCATAATTCTTACTGTTTAATTCACTCACACATTTGTATATGGCCAATAAATAATAAATGAAAAAACCTAAATACAATATATAATATGGTAGAGCTCAGGCACTTTCAGTGAAAACTTACTCTGTTCTGCATGACTCTGGTTAACACATTATGGCATTATTATGTTTAATGAAGCTTGTTGCAAAGGTATAACATTATTAAAAGTTTTTGTCCAACCTGACTTTACCTCTTAGTGCTCACTGTGCTGTGGTAACATCCCTGCATGAGAAATTAAGAAATTAATCAGTAATTCATTTTCCTTTCCTTTTTCCCCAGAACTGAAGGAAAAAGGCCTTTTCCCTGCCAGCTCTGAGACCCCTGTCACTCCAGGACCACCAAAGAAAAAACAGAAAATCAGCCATCACAAAAACAACCACCAGCCTAAACATAGACCTCACCAAAGCTCCAACAACCACAGACACAATCCATCCCACATATTTTTTAACGACAGCCACGACTACAGGGCCCCAACACCCAAAACTAAGTACAATAAGAACAAACAACAGGAAAGCACCAGCAACGTAAAAGCATGGAAACCCAAGAGACCGGTACCTAAGTCGAGAGACCCACCAGCTAAACTCATTTTGGATGAAGCAGATGACTTTCCCAGAGGCAGAGGCAAAGGAGAGAACACAGAGATGATGAAGAAGAAAAAGAAGAGGATGAGGAAAGGGAAGCAAGTCTCCTCAGTGACACCAGAAGGACACAGAGACGGCAGACCAGGCCGTCTCCGTTGGACTGTAACTGGAGAGATGCAGGGGTCGGAGTCAAAGGCAGAGAAAGGAAAGAAGAAGAAGAAAAATCGCCCCCGCAGGAGTACTGACAAAAAACTTGCTGAGCAAATGTACCCGACAGATGAAAACCTGTTTATCATCAAACAGAGGAAACGCAAAAGATAGTATCAGTTTGTGTGAGTGTCAGCGGCTGTGATTTCTATGACCAGTACATAAAGTATAGTACGTGTTCATCATGGCATTTAGGGATATCTCAGACATCTTGTTCACTCAGGTGCAGTTGGAAGTAACTGGTTCATAGACCTTTTTCACAGGAGAATGTTTTGGCACGTAACAAGTAGGAAAAGTTTAGCCGCTTCAGTTTCAGGGTCCTGGTTGACTGGGACACAGAACGGACCCATAGTTAACGGATAGGTTCACAATTGTTCAAGTCGGTCCTAAATCAACAGTCAGATGTCCATATGAACTTTTAAGGTTTTTCTTTCTGTAATCATTACTGTTTGTATACTAGCCATTTAGCGATCCTTCTCTAATGCACCTTCAGTGTAAGTGATGGAAGACCAAATTCAGACAAAAATGTTTATCTGAATGTATTATGAAGCTTCAGCAGTCTGGGTTGAAGAAATATAGTGTATATCTGTCAAAGTTGCTACATTTTTGGTACAAATCCTTCCAGTGCACCTCAGCAGGGAAGTAAAATGAGGGGATTTTCTATTAAAAAGACTGACTTTGAAAGATATCTACTTAATTTGTCTAACTCAGACCTCTAAAGGCTCATATTAGCTTCAGATAAAGAAGGACGGCAGAAATTGTCCCCCATCACCTACACTGTAAGCTTTCTAGGAAGGGATCTCTTAGTTTCCAGTATGAACAGGAGGGATGATTACAGCAAGAAAAATCTTCATATGGGCTCAAGATTATTGTTTTAATATTGACTCAATGTTATTAGTTCCACCTGTGCTTTTACTACTGTGACAGGTCAAAATGTCTGCTATGAAAAGGGTCTATTGTGTTTGACTGCCTTTTCAGTTTAACCAACGAAACTGTAAAACAGGGAATAATTTAGTTGCATCGACCTACAGTGTTTTCAGTAGATTGCTTAAGTAAGGGGATACAATTGGACTATGAATGTCATTACTATCCTATTCTTTCATTTCTTTGTTCACATTTGTTTCTGCAAATTGCAAAATTGGTAAATAAACACAGACTGCTCTTTGAAGGACAGTAAGATAATTCCCTAGTGCCTCTGCTCTGAACATAAAGTTATTGCTGCTGTTTCCATGTGATGGATGGACCGAAGTACAATGGACAAACAGAAACATAATGCAGATTTTATTTGGATGTTTTCACATTTTTTTTTAAAATACTCATGGAAATTACTTTTTTGTTGATTTAGAGCTGAAGGGATGGCATATTTCTATAACACTCATTCTATAAATTATCTAAATATACTGTAAATACATCTATTACACATCTAAACACACATTTACAGATCATCACCTCCCCAGTTCCTTTCTGGTCTGGATAGAGTGTCTCTCTGACATGCAGCCCTGACAGTATTAACTTTTAACCATCCACTATTCGAATTGTACATGGTCTTATTTGTTATGGTCATAACATTAAGAAAACTTAATAACATAACATGAAAGAGTGTGAGACAGTTCCTTAAAAACATAAATACTAGTTGCCTGAAGTCTCTGAAGGATGAATAAAACTGTCTGACTTTTTCTCTGATTCAGGAAGAAGAATCATCAGTTGTGTGCTTCACATCGGTTTATTCAGTAACTTTAAACAGTTCCATAATCACACATGTAATTTATGAAGATGATTCATTAAAATAACTTGGTTCCAATCTATAAGTGTCTTTATTTCCACCTGATGGTATATCTGTGTAGTTGTAAAGTATTGGAATATCAGTCATCTTTTAAGTGCATCATCAGCTACACAACAGTCTTGCAGCATTTATAATTACTGCTTTCATCCTAACTAGAACTGAGAAAGATAATGTGATGATGCCACAAGTGAGCCACCCTGTTGATATAAATAACTTCATAAATGTGTGAACTGACAGAAATTGTAACATATGGGCGAGTTCTGTACTGACAATGCCAACGTAATTTTAAAAACTCAATTAGAAGCAACCTTCAAATTATTGTTGGCTGCAGTCTGAATGCTGCTGTGAAAGATAAGCCACTGGTCACCATTCAGACTGTCCCTGGTTGATGTGTAAGTTCATCTGTAGATATAAACACACAGCGGTAGGCTATGAATCATTTATAAGAATGCTAAACATGCACTAAAAGTAAACGTGTTCGCTCGTAAATAAATCACAGTGAAGTCACTCCAGTGTGTGGTGGTTAATTCTGATTTCTTACTACATGGTCCTGTGATCTACCAGCACCTGACTGTTGTTGGCAGTGCATGGGGAGTTTTGTTTACAAAATACAACTAACTACATGTTGACCTATTCTGTGTTACAGGTAAGCAGTAGCAGAAGTACTCAGATATTTTACCAAGTCAAGGGATATAAGTGAAAGTCCTCCATTCAGAACTTTACCCTAGTAAAAGTACAATAGTATAATCAGTAAAATGTACTTCATGTTTTTTAAAGTAAGAAAAACAAACTAATAAGACAGTTCAGCACTTTTCCTGAGTAATATTATAATATATATCAAAAATAATTTATCTTTATCAATTGTGCCTTGCGGTAATCAGAATTGTATTGTTGTAATAGGTAACGGTGCAGACGTATGCTGTTGGGTAGTTAAAACTAAAACATATATACATTTATTAAGATGCAATAATGTGTAAAATGGTAGAGTAGAAGTATTGAATAGCAAATCAAATTGACATCCTAAAGTACTAGTAAACTGCTGTGAGTACAGCACTTGAGTAAACGTACCACTAAAAGATAACACTAAAAGATTTCCACTCCTTCAGTTGCGGTTGCCACTTGTTGAAACAGTAAGTCAGTAAATCCCTCATGTGTAGTAATTACTACATTTGCGGCAACCCGTGAACGCAACAAATGAGAACCTCGTGACGCGTTACGTGGCCCCGCCTCCCGCCGTCACGTTCACAGTCGGGAGTTTGTAGCTCTGTGTTGGAAACGACTCCGGAGCTTGAGCTGGTTTTACCTCGTATGACCAAAGTTATTGAGCTGGACAGCAGCTTGACTCGGACCAAGAAGGGAAATGGAAAACGGTTCGTCCTCAACCGGTGACACAAAGCTGGACCAGGCTGTCAGACAGTGGCTGCAGTATGACAAGGTGAGCTGACAGCTAGCGAGCTAACTCAATGTGGTTGTAGAGACAGATAAATGTGTTTTACCTGGAGCTTATAGAGGTGACTCATTATAGTTACTTATTAAGATGCCATACGGATATCAGAATATGTAGCGTAAACTGTGTGTAGGAATAATGTAGGATTGTTTAATAACAGTAAGACAACTAGGGAGGATATTGTGTAGTAACCACTAACAGCAGTAAGTTATATAATCACCACTTACTGTCACTGTGAGTGACACTAAGGTGGCTTTAGCTGCTGCTGTGTGTGAGAGATCAATTCAACTTTATTTATTAATAATTAGATAGTAAAAAATAGTGGAAAGGACTATGTAGTCGGGTGGGATATATAGAGACAGTGTACAGTTGATCCCTTTCCAATCAAGTAATTAATGTCAATTAGATTTTAGTTAGTTATTAGTCTGGTTAAACAAGTTAAATGAGAAATGAGTCTATAAGCAAGGACATAACTCAACATATGCACAAGATAAAGTCTCCAGTAATTAAATGTTAAGTATTAAGTTTTTGTCATTTTACTACATATTGCAGATAGTGTATATATTTTTCATTATAGTCTTTTCTATTTTCTATTATATTTAATAATACTGTAATTTTGTCATTCTATTGTACTTGTACACTAATGTACTTTTTGCACTACATTCCCGTATGCTGTCGTGTTTAATTTGAAGTTCTCCTACGGGGGATCAGTAAAGGAACATCTTATCTTATCTTATCTTCATGATAATGAATGATTGTTTACTTGGCTTAAGATTTAGCAGTATTTAGCTAATAGTTTGAATCACATTGTTCTTTCCAAAAAAACTTCCAATGACACTACCAGACTTTTAAAACAAATGATTACCTCCTAAACCATCAGTATCACGTATCATCATCATGTAGTTACCGTTTGGAAGAAAATGAAAAAAACTCCATGACAGGCTGATATACTGATCATTAGTAATTTCACAGGGAAAGGCTCAGCTGACACATGATGTTAAAGAGCACAGAGACAGATGTGTAATCACACTAACAGGCATCCGGCCATCTGACCAACACAAACAGTCATTCATGGCCTTAAAGAGACATGGGATGCCACCAATCAGGTCACATTAGAAAAGGGACCCTGGTTCATTAGTCTTACGATAATTGCGTTAGGGCTAAAAGGACAAAGGACTTTCGGTGTGCTCGCCAAACATTTTGATCATTTTTTTTAAGTAACAGCTCAAATGTGTCAGCCGCTGCTGGTTTTCTTTTTATGTAGACCATCAGTGTGGAATTTATTCCTGTGTACAACAAAATAAAGGCATGTTTTTATTTCCCAGAACCTCAAGACAGCGTCCATGGTGCGGGACATGGTGAAAGAAGGAGCAGTGGAGGCTCTGAAGAAATGTTTCTCCTCCCGGATGGAGTTTGGTACAGCAGGTCTGAGAGCAGCCATGGGCCCCGGCATATCCTGTATGAATGACCTCACTATCATCCAGACCACACAGGTTGGTTAATAGATAAACTGCTACTGCACATTAAGCATCAGGTCACATGTAAAGCCAGGCATACACAATATTGATTCCTGTTCTGTTTGAAGCAGTCCAGACTCTCGTGGTCGACTACTGTACATAGCTGATATGCCACCATCTTGTTACCCATCGTTGTTTAATGTCCTTCGCTGCACATTAAACACTTCCTCTTCTCCAACTTTTCTCTCATTATCCCCCAACAGGGTTTCTGTCGCTACCTGGAGGAGAAGTTTGGGAACCTTAAGGAGCGAGGGGTGGTGATTGGTTACGATGCCCGGGCCCACCCTCCCAGCGGGGGCAGCAGCAAGCGGTTTTCCAACCTGGCTGCTGCTGTATTCATCAGCCGAGGAGTCCCTGTCCACCTCTTCTCCGACATCACCCCTACACCCTTTGTGGTAATCAGTTGAATGCCGTAATTTCCTCATTTGGGGTTTTTTTTTTTTTGACATTGCAGTCATAGTTACAGATGATGTAATACCTTAAAACAGAAGTATCATTTTACTGCTTACTTTAACATTTTAAACAGGCTTAATATCACATTTATATATTTGTAAATACAATTCTTAAGTTTGGTCAGTTTGTCTGGTTTCAGGTGACAGTAGGACAGAAGCTACAGGGCAAATTCCATTCAAAAAGCACACTTAGCCTTCGTATACTACAGATTGCATAACGCACATATGATCCACCGGGTTATACTGAGTTTAAAACCTGTGAAGAGGCACCATTCATTCACATGACTTTGTGCATATACTACACATGGAAATTAAGCATAAAACTATACAAAATATTCGTATTGCAGCCAAAACAAATATTTTATCTTGACACCAGGTACTTAATGATACATACCTGCCCTTCCTGTACAACATAACCCTCATACTGAATTAATACTTACTTACTTTTTAGGTATCGATGCTATTTTAAACACAGAAGGACCCACAGGTTCTCAGCTATAAACTATGAAAAATCCAATCTAAGGCCAGTCAGGATTACTGTTGGCCTCTTTCATCAGTCTCATTTTACATTACTCAATTGCTTTTTGTAATTGTGGAAACACTGAGACGCTTCAATTTGGCCTTTTTCCTGCGTCAGAAACACATTTGAACAGTTTAAAATAGTCGATCAGTGTATACTGATTTTATGTCCCCATTAATGTCCTGCTTCAAGAAGTTTATAGTAAATAAGTATATTTTGCTGTGGGTAGCACAGACCTTGCTACCACTAACAGAAGGTAAAAAATACATATGAGAGCTGTTTGTTATAAAACTCACCCGAGTCCCTCAAAGTAATTAATATTCATAGACTGAAGTGATCTATACACTTAAACAATAGATATTTCTCAGAAGTGATTACTAGAAATCACCTCTATTTGAAGAGTAAAAACACATTTGTTTGTCTCTTATTATAAATGAAATGACATCTATCAAGTTCTTCAGGTCTTTTGCTTGGAATATGCTGCATATCATACTTGGTGTAGTGCAGTGGTTCCCAACCTTTTTGGTGTCAATGACCCCCAAAATTGTTACACATCAGTCTGCGGACCCATACCCCTGGTTGTGAACCACTGGTCGAGTATGATCTTTAATTGTATTAGAAAAGTGACATATTTCTCTCTCCTGCTCCCTGCAGCCTTTCACGGTTTCCCACCTGGGTCTGTGTGCTGGTATCATGGTGACTGCCTCTCACAACCCTAAACAGGACAATGGCTACAAGGTAACACCTTTCACTTACTGACTTACTTAATTAATTATCTGTTTGTTTGTTATTTAATTAGTTATTGGTTGTTGGTTCATATGACACATCTGACTGACAGTTTGATTTATGAAACAATTGCTTGATCAACAGAAAAAAAATAGTTTGAGCTTCACTTTTCCTGGGTTTCTTTGTCTTATGTATCTTATATTGACAAAACAAGACATTTGAATATATATCACATTCAGCCTTAGGAAAGTGTGATGGGCATTTGAGATTATTTTCTCAATATTGAATAAAACATAGTTACAGCCCTAAGTGATTGTTTTAGCTGCCATCATATCTTTCTTCTGCTTTGTCTGTGACTCAGGTGTACTGGGAGAACGGAGCCCAGATCGTGTCTCCTCATGACAAAGGTATTGCGACCGCCATAGAGGAGAATCTGGAGCCCTGGCCTGAGTCCTGGAACACAGAGGAGGCCCTGAAGAGCCCCTTGCTTAAAGATCCCTACCAGGACATCCACGCACAATACTTCAAAGCCATCCAGAAACACTGTCATCACAGGTGCTCCGTATATAACTACCTGTTGAGCCGCATTTAGCATTTAGACCACCTGGGGGCATAGAAAGACATGACATAGGAAAACATAAACTCTGTTCCATTAAGGATTGTAATCATTCATTTTACAATTGAAATGTATGCATAAGATGCCACTGTAGGCCATACTAGGACACAAACAAACGCTACTGTTGAGATGAGTCAAAATGAGAGAAAAACGGACGCATGGAAACTCAACTCTTTTTTTCACAGGGACATAAACAAGAGTTCAGAGGTGAAAATTGTGCATACGTCTGTGCACGGCGTCGGTCACGCATTTGTCCAGGCTGCTTTCAAGGCCTTTGACCTTCACCCTCCGTATGCTGTAGAGGAACAGAAAGATCCAGACCCTGAATTCCCCACCGTCAAATATCCCAATCCTGAGGAGGGAGAGGGAGTCCTGGTATGTTCTGAACACGTCACATGCAGTCATATGCAGAATAGATGGTGTGTTTTGGTTGAAGGTGTAGCGCGTGTGTATTTTGCAGACACTGTCGTTCGCCCTGGCAGAGAGGGAGGGGGCCACCGTTGTGTTGGCGAATGACCCTGATGCAGATCGGCTGGCCATTGCTGAGAAGCAGCAGAGGTCTGTTTGTGTGTGTATATATAAAAGTTATTTAATATAGTTTTATTAATACAATGCTAATTCCATCCTTTAACATGTTAACAATCTTGAGTTGAAAAATCGGTTATATGTCTTCATGTTTTCCTTAGGGGCCATAGAAAGATGAACTACATAGTTACCTAATTACTGTTTAAAAGCTTTCTCCACAGTGCCAAGCATATACAGTAATTTAAATTAAGAAAATACTAACTCCTCTTTCAGCTATGGCCCTTATTAGACATTATTATGACAGTGGAAATGTTCTGAACATCACAGACTGGACTCCCATAACCTCTGTCTCTCCTCTCTGTCTGTGTGTCAGTGGTCAGTGGCGAGTGTTCAGTGGTAATGAGTTGGGAGCGTTGCTTGGCTGGTGGATGTTCCGCTGCTGGAAACAGCAAAACTCTGACAAGGATGCTGTGAAAAGCCTCTACATGCTGTCTAGCACCGTCTCATCTAAGATACTGCGTGCCATCGCTCTCAAGGAAGGTTTCCACTTTGAGGTAACAGAGTCTTAACACAAAATATACTAAATAAAACTAATGCGCTGGATAGGGGGCTGGGAAGATTGAACTCATTGGGCTTTGTTTTGTTTTGTTTTTTACAACAAACAAATCTCTTTTGTTTGTTTGTTTTTAAACGTACAATTTAGAATTGTAATTTCTACCGCTAAGGGGGTTTGAGGGCGTTGTAAAGTAACGTCCGGTCATGGGAGTTGAACATTAGCTCAGCTTGTTTCTCTGATAACTTCGGATCCAGACACTGATGACTAAAATCCTTCATACAGTAAAATATATGGTTAAAATGATAAAAAATAAAAATAAAAAGATCTAAAATGTTTAGCGTAAAAATATATATAACACAAGTCTAGTGTGTTTGTAGACATTTTAATGCTACATATTATAGCTTTAAAAGGGCAGATCCGAGCTGACACTCGATTTTATGGCCTAATGCATCCAAACGTTATCATGTTTCCTGCTACAAGAAGACAATTTCCAATAAAGGCTCATTAAATGCTTTCAGTAAGAGTACTTTAAGGGGAATGGGGAGAAAATGTGGCTAATGGATTTTAATGGTACAGTTAAATGCACTCTATTATTAGTAGGATGTTGCTGGACTTAATTCAAACCACCCTTCACGCTCACTGTCACCACTGTTTGAACAGGAAACGCTAACAGGGTTCAAGTGGATGGGAAACAGAGCCAAAGACCTTTTGGACCAGGGCAAGACTGTTCTGTTTGCCTTTGAGGAGGCCATAGGTATGCACACACACACACACACTAATGTCATCGTGGGGCATAATCATAGGAATTCGGTCTTGATTAATTCTTTGGGGCATCACATTACAAGAGTTTGTTCACATAATGATCTCCACGATGTCAGAAGCGAGTTAATTTGATCTACCTAAAAGTATTCATCTGATGCAAATTTATCTGGGATCAGTTGAAGGTCGAGGGCAACATACAATTGGAAAGTTATCGAAATTGTTTCGCCAGCTCACAAGATCTAAACTGGAGTGAGGGCTTCTGGGAAACCTTGCTTGAATGGAAGTCAGTTCTGACCCTTTGAGAACTACCTACCTGTATAAGAGCTGTATGATCTCTGTAAATGATGTTATTGTGATTAAATGGGAGGAAATTCTTAGCATAAGAAGAATATAATGCATAAAAAACGCTTTTAAATTCGAATGCAGAATGGTGAACTTTCTTTAAAACAATAAATACGTTGTCTTCTTTTAGTATAATCAGTATAACCTTTAACAATTTCTCCTGTTTGGGCCAGTATTGGTTTTCTTTTTTCCAAAACCAAAAGCTAGCACTCTTCTTCTTCCTTCAGAAGCTTCCTTTGTGGCCTCCTTCAGCAGCCTGACGAAGCATATAGCAGCAATTGTCTGCTGCAGTGTATTTACATTGGTGTTCTAACCATGTTATGTTGTCTTGGTTACTTATTAAATGAATACATCAATCATTTAAATTAGAGAAAGCATGAAAATGTCAGACGGGTCAACTGAGGACCTTGGTTTTAGTTATTTTAAGTTTTGACCATGCACTTAGTTAAAGGACATTTATGGTTAATATGACAGAAGTTCACTCACATAGTTTAGAGCATTCCCATATAACAAGATTATGATGCTGTAATTGCAATCGCATGCCTTTGCACGTACTGTTAGTAAAAGAAGCAAGTGACTACAGCGGCAGGAATTTACGCATACCCGGTATTAACTGAAAGTGTGTGTCTGTGTGTGTGTGTGTGTGTGTGTGTGTTTATGTTGCAGGGTATATGTGTAGTCCCTCTGTATTGGACAAGGATGGAGTGAGTGCTGCAGCCATTGCAGGAGAGATGATTTCCTATCTGGCCACGAAAAAAACAATCCTTTCTCAACAACTCACCGCCATCTATGACGAGTAAGACATACATACATACATATATACATATATATACACATTACACTCTATATAAACTACAGACTCTAAGTCTCTCTCTGATCCCCATTGGCAGGTATGGCTACCACATCAGTAAGAACTCCTATTTCATCTGCCATGACCAGGATGTGATCCGCCGTTTGTTCGAGCGCCTGCGCAACTACAGTGGTCAGAAGGACTCATATCCCACTGAATGTGGTAGCTTCTCCATCTCTGCTGTACGAGACTTGACCACCGGCTACGACAGCAACCAGCCCAATAACAAGGCTGTAAGTGCACACATGGACTCAAGTATAGTTGGGAGCCCAACAAGCCTCTGGCATTTAGTTTGTTGTTTGTCAATTGTTGTAACTGTTTTAACCCATAGCTATGAAAATAACATAGTTTGAGACTTGATATTGTCAGTAGTATTTAATAATGAAAGTAATAGCTGTAATGTACTGGGGGTGTAAAGGTGACAAAGTCTTTAGTGTTGCAGTAGTGGCTGTTTTCACTTTGTGAGCACTGTTTACATGAATCACAAATGATAACAGTGTCACATTGACAAATGATCGTGCTTTGATGACAGGCCCCAGGTTCACCCTTTGAGTTCCTTGTTTTAATGATTTAATTTGTCCCTTCTGTTCTATTCTAAAGCATTTAAAGCAATGTGAAAACATTGTGACAGTGTGAAAGGGGTCACTTGTAGTGATGAACCTACAGAGAATTCTCACCTGAATCTGCAGCTCCCCTAACTAGAAACCCACTCTACATTATCTGCCCAGCAGCAAACAGCAGACAGACAAAGTTAGCAACTAGCTGTGAACATAGTGGAGCATTTATCAGCAAGTCATTTCCCTCTGGATTTGGTAGAAACCAAAACCAGGGCTAAAAGAGAGCTGATATTGCACAACAACACACAACACCAAATGAATGATCATTTTCCTCCATTCCTGCTGTTTGCAGCTGTTTGTTCTTTTTAGATCTTGTTTTGTTCACCTATTCATCCATCACTACTCTCTGCAGGTTCTTCCAACCTCCAGTTCCAGTCAGATGATCACCTTCACCTTCTCCAACGGGGGTGTGGCCACCATGAGGACCAGTGGCACCGAGCCAAAAATCAAATACTACACTGAACTCTGTGCAGCTCCTGGTAATAGGTAGGTCACTGTATAGACCAGGCCAGCAAGTGAGACATGTATTAGGGTTTCATTATTAATTAATCTCTTTTGTTTTTACTAAAACCCAAGTTAATGGCTTTGCGTATCAGGTTTAGTCCGACCAACAGTCTGAAACCTAACCCCCAAAGATATCCACTGTACAATGATATAGTGAAAAGCAGCATACCCTCATCTTGGAGAAGCTGCAACAAAGACATGTTACCTTTTTGCTCTCTTTCCTATGAATTGTTTTAGCTCTAAATATCTTAACTGTAAATGTCAACCCCAGTTACCTGAACACAGTTACTTAATGATGTAATTTTTTGTTTTCCTCTCCGACTCCTTGGCTCTCTAACAGTGATGTGACGCAGCTGAAAAAGGAACTGGATGACCTGGTTGATGCCATTGTTGAAAACTTCTTCGAACCAGAGAAGAATAAGCTACAGCCCAAGCCGGAGTAGCACTGAGGAGACCATACGATCACATACAGGACCAGCTGTGACTAATATCTCCGACCAGCATTTCACATAATGTCTTACTACAGAAAGGATTTTTGATTTAATACAGGCTTCATTTTGATATACCAATAATTTTACCACATTGTTTTTTGCCAGTTGAACCAGAGATACTGTTACTTGGTAATGACTCTGTCTTTATTTGAATAATCTCCAGGGCTTTAATGCAAAATCAAACCTCCGCTTTCACTTCGTTTTAGCCTTAGCTTCATTTTGGATTCAGTTTACCTCAGTGCTGGAGATTATAAACCAAAACTGTAAAACGTTCACCGGTCTACAGCCAGAGTCCTTCCTGTTGTGTGAGGGTGACATTTACATTGCTGTATATTCACTTGTAACAATTATGCATTCCCCACGCTGCTTTAGCATCAACTGCAAGGCTGCTGATATGAAGAGTGTAAATGAGAACTGCTGGAACTGATGTAACTTTAAACTAACTAACTTTAATGGATGTTGTAAACTGCTGTTAAACTTTGAATGTGTAATATCTTAGTTAATGGTGAGGTATAACATTGAAAGTGACTACTGAATATATTTTTTAAGTTTTAAATCAATGCCAGGTCCTGTCATTGCAGAGTCGCTAGTTTGTAAAATGACCAAGCTTAAAAGCGTAGAGCACCACCAAGTGGAGATATTGTAAACTGGTGTTTTCAAACGCACCCACTGCTCATTACTTGACATTATCCGTTGTTAACAATCAGAAGGACTCTTGACAACCATTTTACTTCCCATCATTAAGTGATCTTAAGTGATCTTAACTGACTGATCAGGAATTGTGTAATTAGCAGCTCACATTTCCTTATGTGCCTCCTATTCCAGAATACTGTGCTGAAATACTCAATAAAAAACCTTTTCTAACAGTGCATGTGGAGACAAATGTAAATGAATAAACACACACACACACACACACATATTCCTGCATCCTCCGGCAGTGCATGCATGCAGCATGCACTTGTCATGCCCCATCTGAGTATAGAGACGAAGGAAGGTAGGGTCTGCCTGTCTTCTATATTTAACTCAAACTGGAGACATCTCCGGCTGTGTGTAGCTCTCCCTTTCAGTGTCCGTGTGTACGTATGCAGTCCTTCTGATATTTACTACAAGCTTCCTCGGTGACACTTAACAAGACTATTACAGTGAACAGGTAAGGAGGCTGTGCCGTCATGAGGAGCAAAGGGGGAATAACATTAAACTTATAAAATGATCTACTGTAACATACATTAACCATGCACGCTTTGGTGTCTGCGTAACCTCGTGCGTAAAAACGACTTGTTCCGTGCGTAAAATTGCCATAACCGATAAAATAAGGCACGTGGGGCTGCCCTCCTCGGAAATAAAATCTCACTTCTAACTTCCGTTGCTGTTCTGGTGCAGCAGACCGACCTACATCGTACGCTGCACTGTCCCAGCTGCTTTTAAGTTGAGGATTTATTTATATTGCAAGGTCAAATGTGAGGTACGTAAGCAGCCGCTTTTGTAACTTGACGTGAACGTTTTGGTTCAATAGCTGGTGTGATCCGTTCATCGCCATAACATTTTTCATCACGTCTGATTTTAATGATTTCTTTCCACGCAAACTGTAACGCCGCAGCTCTTTACCGGTGATTATAATGTCGTTGACGGTTGTTGATTATGTAGAGCAGGGGAGGTCAGCTGGACATCTATCTCCCCTCTCTGCCTCACACACGCGACTGGCAAAATATGATCCTCATAGTTAAACTGTCATGTGTTTGTGTGTCCTTGAGGCTGTAAAAGTCAAGCTATGTCTTTCTGGTAGGGTAAACAACACCAGGTGGTCATTTTGTAGTACCCTCCAAATGACCCTGTGACTACTACACTGCAACACTGATTCTGTACAGGTGACACAGTGGAGCAGCCTCCAGGATTCCTCTTGCAAAAATCTTATATGTCAATAAATGCACCTTTCACATGCCCGTGGCTGTCCTTTCTCCTATTGGTATGTTCCGTTTTCAAATCTCTGTTCTCTGCCTGATGTTTTACAGGTAAAAGCAGAGGCACACAGCTTCCTCCGGCCACACCAGCCATGGAGGGACTTTACTTTGAAGTGAAACCCAGAAGAGATCAAACCCCCAGGCCAGGAAGCTCAAACAAACCTCGTCCTAGTTTAACTTCAAACCACCGCTCGTGTCCGTCGCTTCCACATCTCACCTCTTCCACACCGCGTCCTGAGAAACTCACTTCTGCTAGGAAGTGGGGGGCAAAGGTGGATGAAGAAGGAGAGGAAGATGAGGAGGTACGATACAAACTGACACTGATTGGTTCTCTGCCAGTCCACCACCTGACCACTATGGCCATGCTGCCCTGGGTGGTGGCTGAGATAAGCAGGGCTCAGCCTGCAGAGAAGGAACTGGGTGCTGGGTGGTGTGGAGGGTCCAGAGGTGGACAGCTGGACCCTTCTACCTGTAATCAGACAGTTTTTCTTTGCGTGTCGACATCAAGGGTGCGATGTGCGTCCGTACTGGGAGAAGGAGTTGTCTGGGACCCTCTGACACACACACTGCTGTTTGAATGTCGTCCCCACCAGGTTACGAAGCTAATTCGCAACAGCCAGGAGCCCAGCAGCTTCGGGTGCCTGGTCAGAGACACACCAAACTGTGCCTGCTATGTCTTCCAGTGCCAGGACAGCACCAAGGTAGGTGTGTGTGTCTGTGTGTATGTAGATGATATGAAAATAAATAGTAGTGTCTCAGTCTGTAGACACAATATACAGGTGTATACAAAGTAACAAACAATGATGATGATGAAACACACAGCTACAAACCTTTTTAATAAGGTGCACATTATGAAAAAACTCTGTTCCAGACCTCATCACTCAAAATTGTGAGTCATATAATGTTGATTACCAGTTGGCAGGATTTATCAGCTATGAAAAATTCAAATCTGTAAGGCAACAGACGACTAAAAGAGCTTCAAAAAGGCTCAATTCTCTATTCTCCAACAGCATATTCATCGTTCAAATAAATGCAGAATGATTTCATAAATCAAGGGGAACAGTCTCATAACTCAGGACAACATATGCCAAAACAACACAAGCTCAGCCTATAAAGGTTCACAGAGATTTGGCATGTCAGATTCGATTGACAAGAGAAACATGGATCAGCCCGGCAACAATCCCCTTTATATTAATTGACGAAAAAGCTGCCTGAGCATTCAGTCTGACCGCATCAGTATTTTTTATAGCATCCCACTAAGAGAAAGTGGACCCTGCTTTGGCACAGTGCGAGTCCATGTACACACTCCCTTCAACAACATAAACACCAATAAAGATAAAAATCCACACACAATTCACACACTCTGCTGACCGACACACTCCTGATCTCTAATCCTTTCAACTCTCCTCCACATGGCGTGCTCTGCCAACAGCCTCTGTGCACTGTGAAGTTGCAGCTGGTGTCCGAGTCAAGCCAGAGACATTTGATAGAATCTTCATGCCCAACATACCGAATACTTCAAACAGTTGGCCAAAAATAGAGAGATGGAGACAAAGCAGGACACTTAACGGTAAATTAAATTAAGACATCAAAATACAAGCTTGACCTTGATCTAGGACTGTTTTTCTTGCTCTTCACAAGGCACGTGCACACAGGCTCAGATTACAAATACCTGCATAAGTTTCAAATATATGAACACCCAGGATGAACTGCAGGATGAACTGTAAATATAATGTGTGTATATATATTTATATATATATACCTATATAAATTAATCACTGCATCTACTGTATGTGGTGTAAATACACACACCTGCATTGCAAACTTGTACATGCACTGTTCGTGTGTTGTGATGACTGTGCAGGTAATTGTTGCTTGCTTGAGTGAGAGTTAAATGAGCTTGCTTTACATTAACCAAGCAGGATGCAGAGCCATGTTACTATGGCAACTACTTCCTGTGGCCCGGGGCCTGTTGTGATGTGTGTGTGTGTGTGTGCTTGTTGTTCTCTCTCTTTTCAGCCCTTTTAAGAACGTGATAGTGATGTCAGGCTAACCACCTGTTGCTCTAGCTCTGTCACACTGGGCTTAGACACGCACACACACACACACAGGCTCACTGAATATGTGTGCAACGCTGGGGTAATACTTGTTCTATACTTTGTGAGCTAAATTCTTCTTCAGTATAAATGTGCATGAGTTGCACTCGGATCGGGAACATCACTGGCCAGAACCAAAACCACTCGCACACACAGTCAGATCTATAAACATTTTACACAGGAAACACTAAACCACACACGCTCACACACAAAATCACACTCTGCACCCACGATTAATGTTACTTTCAAGTGGGGGAGGTGATGGTTCAAGCATGTAGATATTCAGGAGAAGTAAAAATTAATAGTTAAAAGTGACATTTTTCTGCACTGTGTTATAATAGGCACATTATGAGCCCTTTGTGATATTAAATGTGTATTTTTTATCTACTAAAACTAGTTTCTGAAAGATAAAATGTAGAAATATGTGCCAGTGCAGCCTGAACTTAGATACAGTAGTATTTGTTCAGTGTGTGGTAGATGTGGTGGTAGACTGTGATGATGCTATGTGCTGTATCATTGTTCAAAGGTGTTCTCAACTTCAAAAGCATTACTGGAGTTTAGCTGGTGTTTGTCGTCTGAAAAAACCTACCTTGAAAATAATAATAATGTAATATCCAGACATTACACTTCCATTTTAACATTTAATTATATTTAATTAGTTTTATTTGCAAAATCTGTACTTTTAAGTCAGTTAAGTAGCACATTGTATGGAGCGCACATGTGGTGCACAGGAAAAACCAGATAACCACCACTGCAGAGAGCTGGAGGAGAGGATTTGTGCTCTGTGTTATTCCTGTAACATTTTACTTCAACCCACCACCATTTACCATTTATAAGCATATAAACGTGTAATAAATGGTGAAGATATAAGTGTATATTCATGTATTTGTCAACAACAATATTATAGCTTTACAGCTGTCAATACAATATGTCCTCACAGTAGAAGTAATAACTGTCAACAAATACAGTAAACTAATGAACACATAAAAATATATGTGTAAAACATTAGAGTCTGTTTAACAACAACACAATTTGTAACAATTTGTTTGTATAAAGCTTATAAATGCTAAATATGGGGGTGAACGTCAAGTGTTATTTTGATTCCCGAAGTCTGTTACAAACAATGTTTGTGGTGAAAATATTAACATAATTTAAGCCCTTCAGAGATGAAGACAAACTTCCTCTCCTGTGTCAGGGGACAGAAACTGCCCTAGAGGGTCTGTGGGGTTTTCCACTGCTGCCCCTGGAGTGGCAAAAAAAAAGCAACCACAGGGTGTCACCACTGAAGTGTACAAAGTTCACAATGTTTCTGTGTGAACATTTTTATAAATTCATTTGTGTTTGTTGTAGTCCCAGTCAACTGATGTTTAACTACATAATTATCTGTATTTAATTATTTGTATTTTATTTAATTATTACTGTTGGTTCATCTCTGTGGACCCCAGGAAGACTAGCGACCACTAATGTGGATCCAAATTTAAGAATAAAGAATAAAGGCTGTGGAGCTTAACACAAAACTGTGTCAAATGTTGGCCAAAGGCTGAAAGACTGTTGAAAACTTCTGGGCCATGAAGTTCACTATTCATTCCCGGCTCACAGCTGCAGTCCATCCCATGGGGCATTCATTCCTGCTTGATTGGCTCTGCTCTGCCTACAGACAGGAAATGTTGTTTATATTCAGATTGTGCGTACCAAGATAATGGACACTGAATCATGTAACGGTAAAAAAAAAAAAAAAAAACACCCAAAAGTCTACCGCCTAAAGTTTGACTGACCCGGAGACAGGAACTGTGTCCACCCTGTTCTCTCAACGTATTGGTGGATCCAGCTGCGTCAAGTTAACCGCTATTAGATGGGATAAAATCGGAAGTTGGTCAGTTCGCCTTCAAAACAAAAGCCAGGGAACGTGTAGCGCATGCGGGATATCCATAGGAATTATAGGAATGATCTTACTTTGAAATGTGTGCTGTCGTTTTACGTTAGCCAACCTGACGCTCAACCGCAGGATCCTCGGCTTCAGGGAGGAAAAATGAACTTTCCAACGAAATGATATTGAAGTGTCCCACACTGACAGAAACGAGAAGTTAACCACTCGGATCTTTTTTTTTTGTGCGTGCTTTTGTAAAGTTTATGGCGGATGGGATGAAAGCACGACTCCAGCGACTCAACCTGTTCAACGTCAAACAAGAACAGAAAGATGTGAGTAGAGTTTAATAACGCGGTGTCGGTGCTGGCTTTTTGTTTAGTTGTGGGTGCCATGCTAAGTGGACAGTTAGCTCACGTTAACCGGGCAGGTTGGCGACCACTCACTTTAACCTAAATATCGCAACCTGTTGTTAGTCAAGTTCAACAAGTTAGCTGTGGGTTAGGGTTAGCTACAGCTGAGCAGTGGTTACAGCGTCTATTAACCTGTTTTTTTACTCGTTATTGAGGCAGAGTTAAGTTTTCACCATTACATTGTGACATTGTCTGGTTTTAATTTGGCTAAATACCTGACGCACACGCTTGTTTTTGTGTTTACTGTTTGCTTGGTTGTAAATAACCAGTGAGCTTTATCATTCCTCGTCCTTTAAGATGGATGTGATGTGGTGTTTTTGGCCACAACGTTACCATAACTGGGCAAGAAACTCCTGGCTGGAAAATGTCATCACTGAGTGGGTGCTGGTAGTGTGCTGGTGGTAAATATTGAGGTTTCTACACTTAACAGCACTTTGATTTCAGTCCTCGTGTACTTTAGGCACCTAAACAAAGTGTATTTATATTAGATAATGATGAAAAAGTGTCAGTTTTTAAGAGTATAGTATTGAAATCTATGGATTTGATTTTAGTACCACATGTGCTGTAAATAAGGTTTATTATTGTGCTTCTGCTGCAAACCATAGTGTGTTTGTGTGTGGGAACAATATTGTCACATCTTCACTGTTATTAGTTATAAATTTAGCAGAAAAGTCTATTAGAGATAAACAATTATCTGATTAATTTATAAGTCAATCAACAGGAGATTAATCTGTAATTATACATTTGGCGAAAAGAGTTACAGTTTTCCCAAATGTGAATATTTCCTGTTAGTTTTCCGTAACAGTAAATAACCTTCCTTTTGTCATTGTGAGTTAGTACGTCCACTGTTATTTAGGGCTGCGTGATATGGCAAGAAAAAGTGGGAATTAGTGGGAATGATCATTTTAACATCTGGAGAAAAAGATTTGTAGACCTCTACAGTGCTTCATTCATAATACTAATTATCTTACCTTTATCAAAGCATTTGCATTGCTTCGATTTTCGATATTGATATTGAATTTTGATGAATTGTGCGGCCCTACTATTTTCTTGTTAGTTCTAGTTTAATAATCAAGAGAAAATAATCTGCAGATTAATCATTTTTGCCAGAGAAACCTGCCCAGTGCATCATACCGGGGAGGCTCTCTACTTCTCCTCCTAGCTCAGGTGTTGCTCAACAGGGTTTTTGAAATAGTACATAATCATTCTAGTTATTAAATATGTCCTTTTCCTCGACTGGAGCTGCTGTTTCTGTTGAACAGGGGCTTACTGGCTGTCAGACCCTTTATAAATCCGAGTACATGAAAATCCAGGCTGCTTAGCTGTTG